ATTTATTTTAAATCATTATTAATCATTATAAACAATTATAACATTATCTTGAACAATCTATAGCAATCTGAGAAAAATATGAAATTAGGTACATATAAATACATTTATTAATGTATATATTATAAAATGAATAATTTTATCATATTCAACTTCTATTAGCACGATTGCCCCATCCTCTTCTATGTATATCTTTATATTCATCCATGGCACGTAATTGTTTTAAGATCTCTGGATCATCTGTCTCAATCATTTCTTCTTTTTTAATATCTTCTTCTTCATCTTTCTTTCCTTGATTGTTTGCTAAGTCTTGTAAGCACTTTGAAGTGGCTTGATGATGTGAAGGATTAGGCCAACTAAAGTGAAAATAGTATTTAAAACTAGTATTTAAAAAATAGTATTAAAAAATATGAATATATAATTTTCTACTTACTCTCCTTCTTTCACTCGTTGGTCATAAAATTCTTGAACGGTTAAAACAGGTAAACTAGGATAACCAATTCCAAATACTTTTTTTTGCACTTCGTCTCGAGTAATAATAATTGGTTTTAATTTTGGAGGAGGTGGTATATGTTTTTGTGAACTCTGAGCAGACATGGTTTCAGTTTTTCCTACATTTTTCATATGTTCTAAAATTGGTTTTTCAGCAGCTAAAGAATTCAATTCTTCTATTGTTAAGTTTACATATAATTTAATAAGTGTTACAAAATATTCTCTTTTAACTTCATCATCTATATTTGGATCAGATAAACTTTTTTGCAAAATTTCCAAACGCGATTCCAACTCTTTTTGTTCTTTAAACCTTTGTAATTTCGTATTTCTTCGATTTACCTATAATATAGACATATATATAATCTTAAGAATAGTATTTTAATGTAATAATTTTTAATTTAAAGAGAGATTTACCATTTCAGTAATTAATTCCGCATTTGTTCGAACTTTCTCGGGTACACCTTCTTTTTCATGTTCCGATTTAATTTCGGGAACTTCGATATCAGTTAAACCATAAGCTTTAACACGTTTTAAAAAATCGATGAAATAGATTTCAGCAACATTAATAATATGCATTCGATCATCTATATTACAAATTTTTGTTGCGAGTGTACCAAGAAAGGCTGGCAGCAAAAAATATTTTATATTTTCTGTAGCCACTTCATCAAAACTTTCATTTTGACTAAACATATCGATTATAGAGACTAATTTTGTTGCATCTTCTAACATATTCATAGTTCGTTTTATATCAGACTATATATAGAAAAAAAAATAAAAGATAAAATATCATTAATATATAATTGAATATAATAGAATAGAAATACAATTTAAAAATATGTACAATTTAATATAAAATTTAATATAAAATATTTTCATTAGAAATTCAAGAAAAGAGAAAAAAAAGAAAAATTTTTTAAAAATTATACGTAATGATGTTTAATACCTGAATTTTTACACTGTTTGTAGGTTTATCCGTTTTATTTATATTATTAAATTGTTCAAACGCTTTATCGAATAATTCTGATAACGATGTAACATCTTTGTCATCGCTTTCCATAAATAGTTTTTTTCCTGACATAGCTATTGTTTTGACAGCTAGTGGTATTCGTTTATATGAGTTTTACCAAAATGGAATAGGTTATGAATGTTCAATGAAGTTTCGCTTGAAGTTATCGCTATAATATAACAAGTTTCGATAATAAAAACGATATGTCGATATTTAACAATTTGATTCAAAACATTGCAATTTGAAAAGAAGTGAGATATAAATAAATTAACACAAATTTTTATAATAAATAACTGTTTCGACAAGTAAATAAATTGTTTATTGATTTATAATTAAAAATCATTAGAGGGACTATCAAAGGATATCAGACCTTAGAGGGAATATCATTAGCGAGATTGAAAACATCATCTCTATACATCGTCTAACCCTTTGGAAAAAAATATGTTATTTTCATTTGCATGATCATTTTTGGAAAAACAATGCTATTATTTTTTACAAATTGTTGAGTTATTTACAGAATTCGAATCACATATCATTGATCGATCGGATTGTATATAATCTCGAAAAATAATTAGAAAATATATATAATTGTAGATTTACAATTATTGCGATAATGCCTTGCATTGTTTACAATTTTCCATTCGTTCATCAAATTCTTCTATTTGAAGTGTCATTTCGAAAAATTTGTATTTATCGTGAATATTTCTAGTAGCAGTACGTAATATATTGTGAGGACTTGCACCTGGTTCTTCATTAGAGAAAATAAAAAAAAAAATAAATCAATCAAATAAGTCAACATAATATATATCGAATTTATAATATATTCGAATTTGTTTATAATAAAATTAGTAAAAATGAATGAAAGAACAAGATTTGAATGTACTTACTTATTGCGAGATGAGCGGAGAGTGCAGTTTTATCCAACGACAATGCCCAGATACGAAGATTATGCACTTTAACCACACCTTCGATTTGCATAAATGTACTCTCTACTTGAGAATATTCAAATCCTTTTGGAATTCCTTCCATTAAAACATTCATCACGTCTTTAATTATCGCAACTGTAGTTAATATTACCAATAATGAAAAGAGAAAAGTGCAAATTGGATCGACTATAATCCAACTTGGCTGTAATTATTATTATCAGTTTTCATCCTTAAATTCTTAACAAATCTATAACAAACTTAGATATACCTTGAAATAAATAGCTAATGCTGCAACAAAAACTCCTACGCTTTGAATGAAATCTCCTATAACATGAATAAAAGCAGCACGAACATTGATGTTTTTTCTATCATGAGGAAGATCTTCAATATTAATTTTTTCGTTTTCTATACTTCGATTTGACTTATGCGAACCATGACTATGTCCGTGACTATGACCGTGCTGATGTAACGATAAACCCATTCTGCAATATAAAAATTAAATCAATACATTCAAAATATAATATATTTTAAGCATAATAAAATTTATTATTCAATTTATTATTCAATTAATTCGAATTGAATATTAGTTTTAATCGAATATAATGTAGTATCACTAACACTAGATTTACCGCAACGCCCACAGCAGAGGTGATCAACATGACGGTTGTATCTAGTTCAAAATTTTTATGAATTATTCTTTCGATTGCCAAATAAAAAAGAATTCCAGTAACTATCCATATTAATAAAACCGATGTTAAAGCTCCTATTACCTGTAAATAACGATAATTATCTCCATAATAATATAATAAGGAATATATTTATATATGTTATCAAGAAAAGAAAACTTTTTTATACCTACTTCTGCTCGATACCAGCCAAAAGGCATTTTTCTTGTGGCCGGTCTGCTCGCTACCCATATCGAGAACAAGGATATCATAAAGGAAGCGAAATCAGTTAATAAATGCGCAGCGTCTGTTGCGATCGCTAAACTATTTGATAATATTCCACCTGAAAAATAAAATAATAATTTTAATTATCAAATTAATTGTAATTTATTTCTATTTATAACTATATTATACATCTTCTAACAATTTTATTATCGTACGCGTATTTTATTCTTTTATGTCCATTACATAATATATTACCTACGATTTCTGCTATCATAAAAATTACGCATAGCGTACTAGCAATCAGTAATTTCTTTCTTGCCTTTTTATCGATTTCCTCGTTCCTTTCCCTATGACAATGATCTTCCAGTACAGCTAAGAATACAAAAAAAGAATTAGAATAATACTATTATAATAGAATTAGAATAATATATATATATA